CTTTAGCTGACTTATCAGCCTCCCAATTACAACCCCTAGGAATTAACTTCACTATCAACGCCCTAGACAATACAAAAAACTCAATATCCTTTATTAGAATACTAAAATACACAGGGGCAGAAGAAGGCGACTGGATCCATTCCACAGCTTTTTTGCTGTCACTTTCCAGAATCAATCTCCCTTTACTAGACCAAACCGACGAAAAGAAAATTTCATTTGCTTTCTTAATTGCCTTCAATTCTGCCAATGGAGGAGGGCCAGATCCAACACTTTCTGAAAACGACGCTAGAGTGGAACCATTTGAATCTTTAAGAATTCCCCCAATGCCACCAACCAACCCATCCTTTGTGACAGCACCATCAACATTGAATTTGTAGTAATCCGTAGGTGGAGGAAGCCATTTCTGTACTGCCCTACTCTTTACCTTTGAGCACTTAACAACACCGTCTGCTAAAGTAGGATCAGCCATTAACAAGTCAATGGATATCGAAACTTGAGGAAACTTGGCAAGAAACCACTTCGCTAATCTAAATCTTACAATGAAGAAGAGAGAAGACCTGTCGAGAACTTTTTTCTCGAAAACAATTGAATTCCTATGATTCCAAATAGACCAAAGAACCACACTCGGAATAAATTTCCAGATCACCGAATTTGCCATCAAATCAGGCCAAGAACTAATGAAGGATGGAAGATCAGAAGGCAAAGTTGTACAGATATCCCAAAACCTGAAAAACTTATTCCAAATCTCACTAGTTACTGAACAGAAAATAAACAGATGCTGGGCAGACTCTTCTTGCTGATTACATAACGGGCAAAGATCCCCATCAGATAAGGGAACCCCCATTTTCTTTAGCTCTGATTTCACAGCCAATTTTTGATGAGTTACTTGCCAAAGAAAAGTTTCAACTCTAGGAGGAACCAACCCCAACCATACATGATTTTTTCAAATAGGGTTTTCCAGATGATCCTTATCTAGAGTCTTTCTGCAGGATTTCACCGAAAACAACCCATCACCATTCCCAGACCACGATAGAAAATCATCAACTGCCTTGGATAACTGTATGTTATTCAATTTAATCATTAGCTCCAACCATTGTTCCAATTCCCAGTCACACAAATTTCTTCTAGTTTGAATATTCCAAGACCAGCCTAGGGTTTGCAGGTAATAGGATTCAATTGTTATGGTTTTATTTTAGACTTAGGCTGAGACACACATATTCTATATTACTCGGACTTGGGTCCGAGGGTGGGTATGTGTAGGACACAGGTATTATCAGATTTTTTATTCTTTTATGTTTTTTCCATGTATTGGAAGGATCCTTCTTTGGAGGTCATGTCATCATATCCATGTGTTTGGCACAGGTACTTCAAGAAAAATGAAGAGAAGGAGCAACATACCTCATCATTACTTCGAAATATATCACTATTTTCATTTAAACTGACATTTTTGTGCTTTTAACCAGAAAAACAAAATGTTGTTAGTCTCTTAATTTTAATGTGCAGTCTATCAGTTAGCCAGACCATGTTTTCCATCTGTTATCCTCTGATTATTTCCTTCTTTGCTGTTCTTCTGTGTTACATATGGTAGGTATCTGCTGCTGGATATGATAGACAGGCAGTTGCTGACCATGCAAATAATCTTGCTTCAAAAATTCGAAGCAATTTAACTAAATGAAGGCACTTGGAGTAGATATATTAACTGGTTTTGGTACTATTTTGGTAAGCTAACTTGCACTTTGTAACAAAATTCAGTCTGATTTTTTTGTTCTCAAGTATCCTTATTTTTCTGTATGTGTATTTAGGGTCCCCAAAAAGTGAAATATGGAAAGGTTGGCTTTACTGACACCATTGTAACTGCAAAAGATATCATCATTGCTACTGGTTCCGTCCCTTTTGTTCCCAAGGGCATTGAAGTTGATGGTATAATTTATTCCTTTGAAGTCTTACTTATTCCATTAATGATTTGATAGAAGTAATCTGGGTGTTTAAGGCAGCACTGGCATTTGATAGTATTGCTACCCATGATAACTCTTTTGTTCTGTCTTCATCCTCTTTTTTTATTTTAATCCCTGGTTGGGGAAACTTGCATGAGATTTTTGGATGGTCATATGTTATGTAACAGGTAATACATGCATCAGTTCAACCAAGTGAAAAGTGGAAACAAAAGTTTGGATAAAAGTTTCCTAGTTATTCAAGTGCAGCTGAACCAATGGGAATTTTGCATAGAAACTAGAAATCTCATCCAAGTCTTTCATAGATTTTTTGGGGATTGATCCCACGGTTAGATTTAATTAACAAATAACTGAAATGTGTCATCCAGAAACCTAGCAGAAATTTCCTTCAAGAGAATAAGTCTTGGAATTTAGCAATTATAGAAGGATGCATGGCTTGCATAGCTGTAATGTTCTGTGTTGTTATTATTCTATTTTCTTTTTTTTCTAATTATTATCATAAACTGCAGGGAAGACTGTTATCACTAGCGACCATGCCCTGAAATTGGAGTTTGTTCCTGATTGGGTTGCAATTGTTGGAAGTGGTTATATTGGTCTTGAATTTAGTGATGTATGCACTGCACTTGGCAGTGAGGTGATAACTCATTCTTTTCTTTTTCTACCTTGTCAATTTTGTGAAATGAATGTAGGAATCTTTCTTTGAGGATCAAGAGACTGTAAATTTACCTTTTGTTTCAGATTAAAAGTTTCTTTTACCTGAAATCTATATGTACTTGAGTTGAAGATTGCATTGAAGTTATGCTTTTCAAGATTAATCTATGCTGTCTTTGAAACTCCAAGCTGGGAGGATCTATGCTCTTTGGTGACTGCTATTGTATACCAGATGACTGCAAGCAAACTTAGACCATACAAAGCATGCCCATATTATAGATACATTCTCCTTGATCCAATTCATGAATGAATAAGTTACCATTTACCACAGGGATAGATGTCAGTCACTGAAATCTCTATTTTCCTTTTATTAATGTTTTATCGCTGGTACAAAATTATTGCACAACTTAAATGCCCTCTAGTTTTTATTCCAACGCAACAATGCTTATGAGGTTTATGCAGGTTACTTTTATTGAAGCTCTAGATCAACTTATGCCTGGATTTGATCCTGAGATTAGTAAGTTGGCCCAAAGGGTGCTGATCAACCCAAGGAAAATTGATTATCATACTGGAGTGTTTGCAACCAAGGTAATCTACTATTTAGATCTGTGTACATTCCGGTTCTCTGTTCGATAAGTGGTTATTGATTTTCATTGGTGTTATTTATAAATCACTCCGGCAAGGGATGGAAAACCGGTCATTATTGAGCTTATCGATGCCAAGACTAAGGAACACAAAGACACCTTGGAGGTATCTGCATAATGTTTTTTTATTTTTTTATGGGAATTTTTTAATCTCCCAATGCTCTTTTGGTATTTACGGCAGTCTATTTCTTTCTAGACGCTGTTATCATGTACTGAAATTGCTATCATACGATTCTTTTCCTGATCCCAAATCTGTCCTTTCTATCTTCTATATGCTTTTTGTCAGTTGCAACCTCTGCTTTATCGCAGTCAATGGTATCCCTTTTTTTTATCCAGGTAGATGCAGCCTTAATTGCTACTGGAAGGGCTCCATTCACTAATGGTCTTGGTTTGGAGAATGTATGTCTTCTTCATGAATACTGTTGGATTATATATGATGGTGCATTAAAAGGAAATGGATCAAAACATTCATATTCCTTTTTATCAGATTAATGTAGTGACACAAAGGGGTTTCGTTCCTGTTGATGAGACAATGCGTGTGATTGATGCAAATGGAAATCTGGTTAGTTGTAAACTTTTTTCTGACATATATTTTACCCATATTGACTTCAAACAAACACTAATCTGTTAAGTTTGAATGATGCTTGCTCACGCAGCAAGTGCACAAGGAATTTCTGGTACTGCTAACTTATTCTTTGCTCAATTGTAACTGATAGTTTTTGTTTAGAACCATTTCATCTTTGCTTAAATATCTTGATTCAGTCGTCGAGCAAGTCACTGGAAGAGATCATGTGCTTAATCACCTCAGCGTCCCAGCAGCTTGCTTCACTCATCCTGAAATAAGTATGGTTGGTTTGACAGAGGTGAATACAGATTTGCAAACATCTCAATATCTGATCTATTATCAAGTTTAAATTGGTTCAAACTTTCTGATGTAGCCTTATATATATATACAAAATACAAAGCTTTTCTTCAAAAATGGTATTCTTATGGCGTAAAAATCTGAAAATTTGACAATGCTCTAACTTCACAGCCTCAAGCAAGAGACAAAGCTGAGAAGGAAGGGTTCGAAGTAAGCGTTGCCAAAACAAGTTTCAAGGCTAACACAAAGGCACTGGCAGAAAATGAAGGCGAGGGACTTGCTAAGGTTATTTATCTTGAAACCTGTCTCAGTAAAGATATTACAAGAAGATAATTTTCATTTTTTTTCACAAAAGTTGTTTCCTGATTTTCACAAAAATGCTGGAAACAAATATTTATCAGTTCTAAAAGAATATCTAATTGAAGCTTATACCTTATATGGTGCCGAATTCTTGAAATAAAATTATTAAGGAGAGAAATTTTATTTCTTTGATAGAGCAAGAACAGATGTTGATGGACTATGGTATCTCTATATCCTTTTGTTTGCTTTTTATTTTTCTTATTCGAACTTCGTCTCGAGCCATTGATATAGTTGCTAAGCTCTAGGTACGATTCTTCCATGCAGTTGATTTACAACCAGGACAATGGAGAGATTCTTGGAGTTCATATATTCGGCTTGCACACAGCCGACCTCATCCACGAGGCATCAAATGCCATGGCTTTAGGAACATGAATCCAGGTGAGTCTTCAGTGTGAAAACCAAAATATTTTTGGTTCAGGAATCGTTTCCTGGATACTCGGCGAAGCTTTTAAATTGTAAATATTTAGAGTTCTTGTTTGTGCCATTTAGGATATCAAATTTGCAGTTCATGCCCATCCAACATTGTCGGAAGTTCTCGATGAACTATTCAAATCAGCAAAGGTGAGTTTTGAATCCTTCTTATAATTCTCTCAAGAGTTATGATCTTTACCTCGACATTTTGTAATCAAGAACTCAAAGGCATAAACCATGTGATTTGGGAAAACTTTTGACATTTTATAATCTGTCGTATACGAGTGGTTGACATGAGAACTTAGTAAAAAGTAAAGAGTCGGAGCAGCATGGTGCATAAATATTTGCCTTACTCCGAATCAGAAACACAACGAATTCCTCGACACATTATTTGATTTTATTGCTTAACCAGGTTAAAGCCCCTGCATCTACCAGCAGCCCAGTAAGTGAGCCAGTTTCCGCGTAAAAGCTTCTCAACACACCCCGGACAGAAGCCGTGTAATTCTTTTAAGAACTTTGATTGCATTAGGGACTATCGAGGAACCTTTTTTCTCCCGATGACGGACATCTACACAGCAGCTAAATTGCTAGAGGTCTAGGAGGAAGTTACTCATGTTGATAGTAGTTGTGCTTGTCTTTTACAGCTTTGTGTCTTATTGTTAATACAGATTATTGCGTACATAATTTATTTCTTGCAAGCTCGTATTCCTCCTTGAAATAATATTAAGTATTAGGGCGTAAAAGGGTAAAATGGTCACAGTGAGGAAACAAATCGTTGTTAAGTTATTTGTCAATGGTGTTGATTGTTTCCATCTCGAAAGCTTGTTCTTTCAAGGGGTAAAACAGTAAAATGGCTAAATAAGTTTTGTATTTGTTAAGTGTGCATTTAAAAGACTTTGATGTTATCAAAGTATTATATTGAACAGAACTGATAATACGATGTTATCAAAGTATTTATGTTTAAATTTTAGTGGGAACCAAAACGATAAAGATGTAGAAATATGTATAGAAGAACATGTTCTCCTCTCAAATGATTGTTTCAAGTATCTAGGATCTATGATACATAAAGATAGGGGTATAGAGGATGATGTTACACACCATATAAAGACAGATGGCAAAAGTGGAGGGCTACTACTGGAGTTTATTGTTATTGTAAAGTATTATATTTAAGATTATTATATGTAATATTATATTTCATAATTATATTGTTAAAAAGTATAATATTGAACCGAACTGATAATATGATGTTATCAAATAGTGTAAAAAATCGATTATATGTGGACAATTTCACATCTAATCATATTATTTTGGTAATGTTAAACTTTTAACTAGGGATGCTTATTAATCGAATCGATTGCGAATTGAGTAGTGTTTGTCTTAACTAAAAAAACTATTCAACTCAACTATTTCATTAAACTCAATAAAATTTTACTTGACTAGTGTTTGTTAAAAATATAACTATTAAGTTCATCAAAAATTTACCTTTATATATCTATATATATAAAATTTAATATAAACATAAATTTAAAAAACACGTAGTTTAAATATCTATTTTTCAATTAAACCTTAATTTTTTTAATAAAAAAAAGATAAAGAAAACTAATCATTAAATAATAGAAGTCGTGAGTACAAGAGAATTTATCCGAAACCCAACCAAGGCAAACCTAGGACAGATCCATTCAGCATTTTAGGCTAGCCTTTGATATATACATATATATAACCCAACCCACCAGCATCACTTAGGGGTGTTTGGTTCAAGGATTATGGGATTCCCATGGGATGAGAATCCCACATTCCCATGTTTGGTTGGCCGGAAATCTCATTCCCGATAATGTTTTATTACAAATAATATATTTTTTTAGGTATATTACCGGGAATGTCATTACCTCCCTTCCCTTAAGTATTGTAACATTACCGACGTTTTAGACTAAAATGCTCTTAAATTTTTATTTTTTTTCAAAAATATTATTCTTCTATCATTGAATAATAAAAATTCTACGAAGGTTAAATTACAAATTTATCTTTAAATTATTTTAGATTTATAAAAAAAAATCTATAATTAAAATTTTATATGAAGTTCAGAAATTAAAATTTTTTTACCCTTTCATTAAATATTTTTTTATATTTTTAATTTTGTAAAAAAAATTATATAAATATTATGAATTTAATTTTTTAAAGAAAATATATAAATATTTTACAATTTGTAATATTATACAAATATATAATAAGGACAATTTGGTCAAATATACATTCCAATAATCTTTTATTCTTTTAACCAAATACGGTAATCTTACATTCCTGCTAAACTAACCAAACACAAAATACAACATTCCCAGTAATCCTATTTCCTGGTAATCTTTTATTCCTACTGGTAATCTTACATTCCGTGAACCAAACACACCCTTAAAGGATTAGCTGTTCATAAAGTTTGTTTTTTGATATTTTAAAATTATTATACATGAAGCAACCTTGCACCTACATCAACCCTAATATCAGTGGCCATAAAAATCATAAATCCTTTACTCTAAACCAAGGTTTTCAACTACTAACTAAACGTCTGATCATAACCCGAACAAAAACAGTGTCAGACCCGTAGTAGCTTACCTCAAATTGAAGGTTACCGGTTGACATCGGTTGCATATACAAACTAGGCTGCCTAGAGATGTGATTGTTCCTGAATCTTGATGTTTTCAAGCATCCTTGCAGGAAGAAGGGTCGAGGAGGCTTTGATATTCCAACTGCCAAAACAGAGTTTTCCATGTAAATTGATGAATAAAATCGAATTAACATCTGCTGGATTTCGGGGCTATCACTTACCAGTGCTAAATCATGAGCCAACTTCATTTGCCGGTAGTCTTGTTGTGCTTTCTTTGACCGGAACATAGCTTGAACACGTACAACAGCTTTCTCAACACGTTGTTCAGCTTGTTTTCGGCTGGTTCTGAAGAAATCCTCTTCCGTGTCACTTTCCGCCCTTTGCTCTGGAACTGCATCAACTGGGTTAACTTGCAGTCCACGCAAACCTTTTCTTTTTAATCGCCATCGCAGAAGTGCTTTCTCAAGCACACCAACCGACCAGACAATCTTACGGTACTGCCTCCTTGTTAGTAGGCCCCGGAAAGCTGCCTGCATTAAATTTCCAAGCAATCTCTATTCTGAGCAATCCTCGCTTCCTCATACTTGAAGAATAAGCAAATAATGTTTTTTTCCTAATAATAAACCATCGAAAAGATGGAATCAGGGAAAATAATCTTCCACTAGCATGATATGACTTGAGTTAAAAAAAGTCTGTAGGAAAAAAATGGGAATAATTTTGATTCAAAAAAAGGGTACTATTATCATAAAATTGGACCTATTAAAGAGAAATCGTGCCTATTTACAGTCGCCAAAATTAAAAGAAACAAATAATTTGATTTTGATATATATATAATGCAATACTCATACCAATAGTATAGTAAGAAGAAAAGAGAGGATATTTACCTGGATTCTGACAGCATGGCGGCGCATATTAAGGAACTCTTTACGCATTTTCCAAGTACGGAACCTATATTGGATCCGGGCAGCCGCAGCCATCTGTCTTTTGGCCTCATAGTTGCGAAAGGCATGTTGAATCTTCAAAGCCGCAACTATATGACGTGCTTCATCCTCAGGAGTGGAAGACTCGATTATTTTAGTCCGGATTTTCAAGGAGTGTACCCTGAATGCATTCTGTATGCGTGCAGCCGCATCAGCAGCAGTCCTGTAAGCTGCTAAACTTTCCTTCAAATATAATTCATCTTCATTAAGGTTATCAGTGTTATCGGTGTTTGTAGTTTCTGTTCTACTGGTTTGTAGAGAGCCACTAGCATTTCCAGCTACAGCCATATCATTGAATTGTGCTACTAAAGCCTCTTCAGAAAGATAAGCAGCTAGACCCTCGTAACCCTTTGAAGATGCGAGATCAGCAGCTGTGCAACCATTTGGATTTTGGGTAGTGGGGTCTGTCACCAAATTTGGCTTTGCACCTGCAGATAAAAGAACAGCAACCATTTTTTCCCTGCATCGAGGATTTTCTGAAGTGAGATACAATTCGTATCTGATTCAAGATTGACAACTATATTAAAAGACCAAAGTTCAATTTTTGAACAAGAGCATACACTGGCAAAAAAAATAGACAAAAATAAGTTTACGAGGAGATAACACTATTCTGATGTTTTTTGATAGAAGTTGGAGGTCTCATTAAAAACTCCCTTCGTATTCGTTCATATACTAAAGGTATATTAACGAACATTGGAAGGAAGAAAAGAGTACCTCAAATTTTATTGATAATATTACCCGATACAAAAGACACCATGGAGTAACCTCACATGGTGATGTACACCTTTACAACAAAGACCTTAACTTCAAATGACCTCATCCAAAGCCACAGTCTAATCACCTTACTCCTAATTACACCACCCGCAGTAGGAATAAAACATCGCAACAGAACATGATACAAATTAAAAGCAACACCTACAACCGTAAAGACTAAAACAAAACCACAATTGAAGAGACAAGATCAATGAGACTCGTCTTCTTCAGGAGCCCAAGAGTTTGGTTTGAATGAAGGCTCTATCTCATGCACCATGACCTTGAAGAAGTTGTCACCAACCTTCAATTGCACCAACGCATCAATTCTCGAATCAGCCTTTGTGAGGACTTGAATTTTTGCCCGATCAAAGATTGATGGAGAATGACAACTTTCGTCGATAGCTAGTAATAAACCCCACTTCTCAGCAATGTTCTTGAAAGTATCCCAATTCCATGCGTGAAAAGGAACACCCTCGCAAACTAATCATACTCGACGACACTCCATTACCAAACTTTCTGACCAAGCTTCGACTATGGAGAACCACTCTGCGAGAATCTTTGATTTATCGTTCTCCACACTTCTCAATGAAGCATTGTCTTTGAAAATCATTAAAATTGCATTACCAACAGCTCTCATTAAGGTGAAGCCAGTGAGGCCCTTCGCTTGCATTTGTCTAGCGAGATGACCAATTTTGACAAAGTCCTTGCACCACCCCACTAGACAATTGCTCAACACCTGAAGTTTTTCTTTATCTATAACACCTTCAACTTTATAAAGATTCTTCCTCGAATCATCTTCCAACCCGGACTTGCGAAGAACACTTGTCGAGAACTTCCTCCAATAGGAATGTCGAGGTTTAAATTTAACGAAAGAAACACCAATTTTGCTGCCGTCGATACGAGAGCCATTCATATTTGAGATCG